CGCAACGCAGACAACGTCGACTCGGTCCTGCAGCAGTTCGACCACCTCGTGTACCCTGCAGAGCCCATTCAGACACACGGCATGCGAGCCTTCATGCTCACCTCCTTCGGATTCGGCCAGAAGGGCGGTCTGGTGGTGGGAGTGTCTCCGCGCTATCTCTTTGCCGCGGTGGATCGGACGCCCTACGAGGCGTATCGCGTCAAGGCCCTCCGACGCTGTGAGATGGCCAACCGTGCCTTTATCGAGGGGCTCAACACGAACAGTCTGTTCCAGGCCAAGACATCGTCCGCCTGGGCCGCCGAGGACGAGATGCGAGTGTTCTTGGATCCATTTGCGCGAGTTGCCGTTGACGACGGCAGCTACTATTTCGATGCGAAATGTCTGCATCCTGATTCAGAGGACTCAATATCTGAGACGAGCTCCGGGGTGCTAACTGCCGTGGAGACGCCCTCAACGCCTACCAGCGAGCCGCTGATGGACGCGTGCCAGAAATGGGTGGAGGCGGCTGTGTCGACGGACGGAACGACCTCGGTAGGTGTGGACATTGAGTCTGTGACTGCTATTAATGTCGAGAACGACGTATTCCTGGAGCGGAATTACACTGAAGCCGAGAGGGAGTATTGCCATGCTGCACCAGATCCGGCACACTCGTTTGCAGGCCGTTGGGCAGCCAAGGAGGCCGTGTTCAAGAGTTTGCAGGTCCCATCCAAGGGAGCAGGGGCTCCGCTCAACGATATTGAGATCCTCAGTGATGGTGGGATTCCAACTGTTCATGTGAGTTGCTCTGTTCCTGAATATTTAGTCATCACAGGCTAATGAGACTGCAGCTACATGGTGAAATCAAGAAGCTCGCTGATGAGAAGCAGCTGGCCAAGGTTCAGGTCAGTATTAGCCACTCGGGCGAGCTTGCCATGGCGGTGGCTGCCACTACGTTTGGTCCTGCTGAGAAGGAGTGAATGTTGTTTCTGAGAAGGAGAAAAGAAGCCCTCGAAAGCATCCAGACTGTATAGTTTTACTTGGAGACTTGGTGTTTTATGATTGCAATCCTTTCGTTTGTAATGAGTAATATGAGCTTTATGATCAGACATTACTATATCTATCACAATATATTCGCAGCAACTATCATTGTCATGCTTTTGCAAGCCAAATTCTAAGCCGAACACAACTAATTCTGCATTCATTCTCTCGGCACATAGATGATGCCCATTAGATAGAACATCCTGCAGAAACAAGTGTAGCATTATATCGCGGTTGTCAATTGTTATTATGTCTATCCAAATCAGCAGCTGGATCCCGCTGCCCCTGGCCGAATCGCCACTGGGGAGGGCGCAGTCTTGATTGCTTGAGCTTTACTAGATTAGTGTATATTACGATGACCTCAACCGTGCTGTATTTAGCTCGTTGTATAAGTCCAGACCAAGTGAATACCTATTTTCTCACTCCTGGTCCAGGGGAGAGAATTCATGTATAGTACAGTGGTCCATAACCTTAAAAACCGGTTAAACCCGTAGTTCCTCGACACTCGGGTGGCTCATTCCTTGACCAACACTCTATAGAGTATCTGCTGTTTATTATAAAATATCATCATCTTTTAATAATTTCCTTTTTCTTTGTACTTTAAAGTCTCAAAGGAATCATACTTTTTGATCCATTTTACTGGCAGTATTTGCCCGATGGCCGCTATTTACCGCCGTACCCTATCCAGTTTTGCCCATTATTCACAACTCCGCAGAGAGAAATTCTCACTCGAACTTGCCAAAGAAGATGACCTTCCCGAGCTCATACCCGCACAGTGGGATACGTCTGACAATCCTTCGCAGGGCATTTTTCGTCTCTTCTTCCCCATTGAAGATGGCGATTGGGAAAAGAGCCTACAGAGAAGTATCGAGGACCAGCGCACGTCTCTCATCAGGGAGCAGCCGACCGTCAAATGGATCAAGGTGATGGATGTAGAGAAGAAACGGATTGCGGCCGCTGCCAAGTGGTATTTCTTCGACAATGCCAGCTCTTTGGCCAAACGCCCAACGGTCGAGGTTGATTGGTATCCCGAAGGGGTAATCAGGAACCTTGTGAGTCAGGCTGTGCAGCAATATGAGCAGCCACGGCATGAGATGTGCCAACGGTCACATGCATGTAAGTCTATCCTGTTTTGGACGTGATTAGGTCCTGGACGGTTGCTACACATTCCTTACTGAGAGAAACAATTCTGGGCCTTTATATCCGATAGCCCACTGACAATGTTAGATAGACCTCCACATTGGTTTCACGAGACCCAAGTATCAAGAGCAAGGTCTTGGTAGTAAGGGGATGGAATGGGGACTGGCAGAGGCGGACCGATTGGGGCTGGAGAACAGACTGGATGCCACTGATCCCGGTGTCCCTCTCTACGAAAAGTACAACTTTCAGGTAGCCAAGGTGCATGACCTGAGGCCGGCAATGCCCGCGAGCCTGACGAGGAGTGAGATGCGGGAATGGAAACGCTGCGAAGAGTAATTTTTACTTATTCGCACTACTGTGATGGTGCGCTTCCCAGGTGGAGTTCCCGCTGCAAGCATGGAGGTTCAAGGAAGTCAGTAAAAGAAGACATCCGTATACAAGAAAATTACTACTTGTGTAATCACCACTTGAGAGACACATAAATACACGGCAGATTAAGATCCGGTGAGACAAAGTCCATTACTTTTACAAGATGGTTACGATTATGTTCTCAATTCATGTTCTAATTTCCATGAAAGAAAATTATTCAACGGCATCCCCCTTTGTCCACGAGTCTTAAACCAGAATCCCGAGGGCAACAAACTATCCCAGCGGCAATTTCCTTCAAAGGGGCTTACAACATGAGTAGAAGCCCAATATATTGGTAGCAGGGGCCCGATATCTCAGCCTTTACAGCCGATCACTAGGCTTCCTCCTTGATTATGGTTAGCTGCTCAGGATAACATCCCTGCTTTTCCAGGGTATACAGGTGTAGTCATCATTCGCTGGCCCATTTTACTGCTTCCATTTTCCTATATTCTCCTCCAATGTCTCTCAAAGTTCAGGCCCATCAATCACAGCCTCACCACCCAGAATTGTGATCGCCTCTGCCTCCCCATACGAAACATTTTTGAAGGTTAGGCCTACTCATACCGCTCATCCCGAACTATATTCGGCCGTCTGTTGGATCTACTCAGCAGCAAGATGAGATATCTCTGGAATCTACATAGTAGAGGTCAGTATACCATAGCTGGCAATCAGGAATACTATGTTTAAGTGGGAGAGAAGAAAGTAAATTGCGAAGCTAACATCTGGGTCCATTAGGTCGATGGTTTCGTTGCTATGAAGTGTACGGTCCTGATCATAAATTTGGTTCCGATCGCCCCGAGGCGCTGAAAATGATTAAGCAGCTGTGTGAGGAGCCGGACAAGCTAGATGAATGGGAGGAAGCTCAATTTCCTGCTCCGGTAGGTGCACTGGCCGGCATAGTCTACACCGTGAATTTGGACGCTGGCACACTGGTAGTGTCCTACCTTGATTTCCCAGACAATGATCCCCAGACAGTGACTGACTGGTATGACCTACACACGGTACGTGAGGCCTCTAGCTTGTCTGCAGCGGGACTCCGTGAGGAGCTGAAAGAACTACCTACGCATGCCCCTGAGGAAATTATGAATAATGGATTGGCACAGCCGCCGCTGGAACCACTGCATCTCCGCTTGGATATCCCGACTTTTCTGAACGAACTGCAAGCCCGATTGTTTATCGATCTTATGTGGGCCTGGCGCTGGCACATTTGCGATTCGATAACGATGCGTTATGATTCGCCGGCGTTGAATTACTTTTGTATCGCCATCTTACGTCTTGCAGCTTGGGATTTCGAGGTTTCATTTGACACCGACGTTGACCTCCCAGTGACTGATTATCCTGGTGTACCCTGGAGCTGCCCCAAAGGTGACATCTACTGGTTCCATGAATTTCTTGTTGTTCTACACAACAACCTGGAGGATCAATCCATGATCCGCTCAGCCGTTCAAAAGGCTGAGCAGTACCTTGAGAAAACCGCATCCCAGAGTCATCACACCCTCTTGATAATCATTTCGACATGCCATGTTGTTTTTGCAGAGATCTCAGACGACACTATCCGTGCAAGCAGCCCAAGTATGCTGGTTTCGGATATGTCCAGCGGCCGGTGGCCTGCGGGTTTCCGTGCCCTCTGCCAGATCCTCACAACAAACTGCTGGGGACAAAGCAAAATGCACCGGGAGACATGGAAGCCTCACCTGCCTGCGGAAATCGTTCAACTCATCCTGCAGCATCTGGAACCACGCGATGCGGTAGCATTCGCACAAGCGTCTTTCATTGCCGAAAAATGGTATTACGCAAGTGTACACCAATTCACTGGCCTTGTCGTACAAGGCTCCCGCTTGCTAATACCGTGTTGCGGCAAGCGCAGCGGACTCGAACAGTCCGGGGTGATGTGCTCAGTTTGCTACTCCTGGCAACACACTGGCTGCCTTGACCAAGCTAATCTTCCAAGTGATAGTTATCCCCACTACGTTTGCTCGCGCTGTCGAAGTGGTGAGCCAGAACATCCCATAGGCCCCGACGTCATGTGCAAGTTTTGGGTAAGTGGAGCATGCAAGGTTCGACACGGAAGTACTCTCAAGAGGTTTTGGCTACAGCAGGACCAACCCGTTTCTAGTAAGCTGCACAAGTCTAGACACTGTCTTGCGAGAATCGACTATACAGTCCGGTTTAACGGTGCTTTTTCAGGTTTAGCTTATGGCTTTGACGGTCGTGACTTGGACGATGATGGCACTGACGCTGATGGCTATAATGCTGATGGCTACGATGATTATAGCTACGATGATCATAGCTACGACGATCATGGCTACGACGATCATAACTACGACCATAGTGGCTATGAGTATGATGACTATGACGATGATAGCACTGGAAACCATGGCACTGACCATAATGACTTTGATGATGAACCCTGAGAGTACCTTGCTATCTGGGTAATCAAAACGTAGTTGAGATGGTGCAAATAGAGAATAGTTGACTGGAGGAAGGTATTCAAAATTCCAGCGCTTTAGAAGCGCCTCATACCCTCAATTTTGTTCCATTACTTATGATTATGCCCTTCGGGGCTGTCCGACCGTACTCATACACGCTTCACTGTCTCATCGCGCAGGCGTATCATGTAGTGCCATATGCCTCTACATCCGTTTAATCTGAACACTATCTCTGCGTACATGAAACGCATGCTGCTCCTGAGATCGACCGGATAGTGCCCATGGCACAAGACGCTCATGTTCATGCAGCTGTCCATGATACTCGTAGCAGTAGACCGACTGACTCTGGACCAATATTGCCCAACAACTTTCAACCCCTGAAATTCGGTGCTGAATGGAATGTCGAAGTCGATTGATACAACTTTGAAGTGAATCATCCACTTCCGATCTAACCACGGCGTGATCGACGATCATACGATCCTTTGAGGGACTGGGCTGGAATTGGCGGATGATGAATTCAAAGCCTGAAGAGCACTTGCTGCTCGTTGACGTGGGTGCGACTATGAACCCCTGGTCAATAGGAAAGTAATAAGAGAGAATACCAGATGTCATTGCTTTCTCAACGTCCTCGTTTCTTGGGTCCTCCTCGACTCGTCGGATAAGTTCATTAAGGATGGGCATGGTGAGATATTCTGCCATGGTTGGTGGTCAGGTTCAAAGGGATTTTGAACCTGAGTATTTGCAGTGTGAGCGAGGTCCGGGATTATCTAGCAGGTAGGAGACAGGGGGACTTGATAGAGGGGCGTAGCGAAGCTCGAGCTGACCACTTCGCCAAGGTGGGGAAGATGTTATTTTCTCCGCAAAATAGCTGCCGAGGATCGGCACTGATCGACGATTATCTCCTCGGATTCAAGTAGTCGGCTTCCTCGTTTTCTGTCCAGCTTTTCTAATTTTCTATCATAATAATCAGTACTCATATTAAGATGACTAGCCCCTTCCCTGTATGCAATCCTGAACCAGCCTTATACTGGCTCATCATCTTCCCATCGCCAAAACGCCACATGAGACACCCAGGGAGCTCAAGTCTATGTGCTATGTAATAATATACGAACGAAACAGAACCAAAAGAATTATACCCGATCTCTTCAATGCATCGTTCCCTCAAGCCTCACTCTCATTTTATCCATGCTTTTCTGATAAATCGTGTGACAACCCCACAACCCATCACAGTTCCAACTGAGATGACTTTCTGACGCTGCCACCATACTTGTAAAACAGCATTGGCACGGGGATCATGCCAAGTGTAACGAATCCCAGCAGGGAATTACCCCATCCGTAGCCCAATGTCGAGTACATGCGCGGTCCCGCCAGCGGCAGCAGAGCACCCATCAGCGACCGTGTGACCACCATCGCGGCGGTACCGGAGGCAGCATACCGAGGATAGCAGTCGATCACGTAGGTCTGCAGTGTATTGTAAATACCCACCATGCCGAACGCAAAAGGCGCCAGGCCAATGATCGGCACAATCCAGTGCGTATGCTCCTGCGCAGACCATCCGTACCAAAAGAACGAGACGGGGATGAAGAAGGCAAAAACCATTGTGATGGACAAACGCATTTCCGGCTCAAAGACGTTGTTGTTGCGCAACTTCAACCGTGTGATGATACGGTCACTGACCAAGGCAAAGACTATCTGGCCACTGATAAATCCGACACCGAGACCGAGATACGCGAGGCCACTGATCTCCGTGCTCCAGCCGTAGGACTTCTTGAAGACATCGGTCACTGTGGTAAAGAGCAAGTAGAGACATCCGTAGAGTGTGGCCAGATAGGTGGCAACCGGGAAGACGATCGGCGAACGGACCAAGAGGTAAAATGGCATGATCAGCCGCTTGCCAAGGGTGCTTGTATAAGAACCTTTGGCGTCCGCTCCATTGGGTTCGTAACAGCTGTATAGTTCGGGACGATTGAGCTCCTTGCGGAGGCGCTCGGTCTTGCGGCGTATGATTACGACGTGGTTGGTCTCACGGTTGAAAATCATGACCAGAGCAGAGAGCGTGCCGCCCGCAATGACCAGCACCCAGAACACCTAGCAGGATATCAATATCAGTTATGTGGATGAACACACCGGTGAAAATAACATACCCAGTGCCAACCCGCTCGCTGAGCGATGAAACCTCCAAGAAGCGGTCCCAGAACAGGTCCGATCAAGATACCCGTAGTATAAACTGCCATTGCAATTCCACGCTGTTCGGCCACAAATAAATCGGCCACCACACCACCACCTGTGGTCAAACAAGCCGATCCACCGACGCCCGTCAGAAAACGAAAAACGATTAGTGCAGAGATATTGGGGGCTAGCGCGCAGCCAATCTGGAAGGCGACAAAGAACGTGTTGGCCGCACTGAGGACGATCCGTCGGCCGTACATCTCACTTAGCGGAGAGAAAAAGAGAGGACCGGTCTATATGGCAATTTTGGTAAGCACAAGTCAGGTTCTTGACAAAAAGGAGACCACACATACCACATAACCGATGAGATAACCTGTGACCGAGAGAGTTCCCAAAATAGTCGATGTGACATCAAATTCCTCTTCCGCGTACACCACACCTGGAGAGAAGACAGAAGACGCGAATGGACTGCAGAGGTCGTGAGTAAGAGACAGCAACCGGTTTATTTAAGGAAGTCTCAGCATACCTGATGAATGTGATGGTACTGACCAGTATCATCAAAAACCATTTCTGAGACACAGGAAAATTCCTATTTCGTGTCAGATGCTAGATCTTACATGGTGGCAGATGTGACCGGTTATCTCTCACCTCGGATTCTTTGGATCATCCTCGCCGTCCCATCCTACCATGTCCTTCTCCAGGTCTATCACAGGATGCACGTCGGGTCGCTAGTAACTTGACGTTAGTCAACGGCTCACTAGTGGACATAATTCTTGATGACAGCGGAACTCAATGCCTACCTTACCGCCGGCCATGGCGCTGGACGAATCCTTGCTAGTGATAGGTTGTTTGTATTCCCGGAAAAGCAAAGTCAGAGTTTATAGTGGTAAAAGTTGCACTAATGATCCAGCAAACAATCGCATAGTTTGGATAGTGCTCGGCGCTTGTTCGTGGGTTAGTTGCGCCTGGGCACCATTCTATGAGAGATATATAAGGGGGCCGCGATACATCCTCAGGGAGGCTCGGGCCGCGCAGCCTTCAAAATCTGACAGATACATCCCAAAAGGAGTCGTGCAATGCACTAAGCATTATCTTTCCGGCACGCAATTGACCGCCACGTTGGATCCGGCCTTGTGCAGTGGTTGAGATCAGCGCGTCTGGACTTGCAGCGACGGTTGGTCGGCACTCGGCCTGCGAGACCCGTTGTTTGGGTTAGACCGACCCATCGCGCTGCCGCCCGTGGTTCGGAATCTCACCCAGCAGCCACTCGGATGTTGGGTGGTCAGGTCTCGGATTGGACGAGAAGGAGAATAGAAGATAGACAAACACTAAGGGAGGGTAAAATGAAAAGAGGGGAAAAAAAAATAGACATGAAGGTTCATGATCAGTTGCCACGCGCACGCGGCACCACGCTCAGCTATTATCGGTCGGATCTTAAGGCGCCCGGCATTGGACACTAGTACCCCCAAACCACAATCACATTACAAAGTCGGTCTAAAACAGATAGTCGAAGCTGAGTAAATCCCCCGTCATCCCGTCAAATTCCCCAAACTCTCTCCCGAACAGGTAATCCTCGCCTTCCGTAGGTCGTTGCAAATTAAAGGGTCGCGCTTCCAGGTAGTACGTCTGATCTCCGAGCCCTGGCTCCGGTCCATAAGTGGCAGCAGCCCCGGCCAGCGCTTCCATAACTCGCTCAGCTGTCTGGGGAGTGGTGTTTTCGGGCGCCGGAGTTGGCATAGTCGTACATGGCGCACCTGGTTGGAGCGGAGGAACCACATACCCTGACGGTACCGGGGTGGAATCTAAATGAGATAACGGAGGCTGTGATACAGGAATCATGCCGTATGCTTCGACCGGATTAGACTGGGAAGGATGCGTCTCCACGCCGCGCGTGAATGACCCTGAACTGGGGGCAACCACTTCACCCGCTCCAGGACCGTTATATTTCTGCTTCCCCTGAGGTGATGCAGCATGACCCTGTCTTGTCGTCGGTCCCGTATACGGCTCGCTGGTTTTATCCGCAACTGCCTCTGCGGTGTCATTCGGACTTTGCGACTGCGAGCCGTGATCCGATTTAGTGAACGTAGCTGTCAGTACCTAGTCGCTTACGTTAGCCTAGAATCGTCAACATGGAACCATCGCTGGTCGTACCGTTAATGCCACATGCAGGCGACGGGAATGAGAACTGTAAGGGGTGAGGCACATCAGCATTCTCTTTGCTGTGTTCAAATCCATTTTGAGATTTCTTGCTGTGTCCGGGTTCTTAGAGCCCACCACCACATATATCAATGATAGACCTGCTGTGCAGACCATGTACGCAATCCTCCAGTGTGCTCCATATAGGAGACCGTCCCGGTGCATATCCTCGGTCAAATGGATAAGATTGCGGCTGGCGTCAACACACGCCGAGGCGTACTTGTGAAATCCGTGTTCGGCATGGCCGTTCCCCTCGGTGCTGTCGACGAAGTAGTGCAGGAACGGTCGATATAGAAGAATTTGGACGTGTGCATATGTCATCCATAGCTCGTATTTCGCCCTGCGGCCTGTTAGCTGGGTGGAACTTAGTGGGGACCGCACTCATGGTGACCTTACTTCTCTAAGTGGGGGGCGTATCGACTTGTGCCCCGTTTATACCCCAGTGGGAGCGATGTGGACCACTTCTGCAGCTCCGCTTCGAGCTGAGTGACAATGTCGTTGCTCACCCGGTGGCTCATGGATCCGCTGTTGGTTTTGCGCCGGACGCCTCCTGACGGATAAAGCTCTCGAACTATTCGATCCAGAATATTGTGCAGCTTCAACAGCGCGACAGAACCAGACATACTCCGAATCAGTGCCGGGTCTTGTAAGGCTTGTGATATTCTGGTCGACTTAAGGTCGTTATCGTCCAGATCTAGCGGCTGTTCGATGTCGACTTCGTTGCTGTTGATCGGCCGCGGATAGCCGCACATCGAGGCTACGACCATCAGTAATTGTCGCAGAGACCAGAAAAGTCGCCTCTTGATCTCGGCGACGATTAGATTGTCCCTCGTATTTGGCAGCTGGAGATTCATGCGAACGGCGAGAGAGAATGCGTGTGACAGGCATGTATAGCACGGTGATAGCCTCTCCGTGCTCAAGATGAATAGGTTCATATAGAAGATTGCTTGTAAGGTAACGATATCATTGCAGTCGTGCAGATCCACTAGATCACGGCATGTAGAGAAATATTTCGTTCTACTCGCGTTAGCATGGATTTAGACGACACGGTGGAATGAAGACATACCTCTCCGCGGTCATGTCGTCCCCGCTTTCAGAGGAGCCCTCGCCGATCTTCTCAAACAGACAGCCCAACGCCATGAGCGCGTAAACGAGCGGGATATGGCGCATTTCCCCTTCCCCATAGTCGCTCCGATCCAGGCTGTAGAGGAGTTCGAACGCCGAGTCAAACGTGGGTCGGTGCACGACATGATAGAGGACGCTTGCATCCAGCGCTATGTTGATTAGGTGCTCCGCTCGCTCACGGGGTGGTAAGCAGACGACCCGCGGTGCCGGGTTGGCTGACTGGAACAATTTCACCCCGGGTTTCTCTCGTATACGTAGCCGGCTGTCGAAGTCCGCGCCGGGCCAGTCTCCCAGCTCCGCCTTGAGGCGCTCAATAAAAGCACGGTCGGCGGATGAAAATCCGAAGCGAGCTTCTCCTTGGCTTGACTGGGCCTGAGGCTGGGCATCTGTCGGGTCGTGGCCGACATCATTGGCGCCGGCGGTTGACGGGGGATGGAGTTGCGTCGCCGAGCTGGGGGACTGAGATGAGTCTTTGGTGGCAGAAATGGTCTGATAGGATTCCTCCATCGCCTTGACCCTCTTCTCCAACTCCTGCAGACGATCGAAATGCGGGGAAGCTTTGCGCTTGCGCCGTGGCTCCGGATACACACATTCTGTACCCGTTAGCTTATCCCCAGCCTACCGTCTGTGGTCTTATCGCGACACAAGTTAAAAGGGCCTCGCACCATTGAAGGAGGTGCGACAGTGATTGCAGGTAGAGACGCCGTCACACTTGATTTTCATCTGGCGACAGCGCTCGCATGCCCGGCGAGTACGATCCTTGGGTCTTCCGGTGGCATCGGAATGGGAGGCATTCCCATTCGGGGGAGGGGGCATCTGAAAATGGCGGAACATGATGATGAGAGGGGGATGAGGAAAGACCTGACTGCGATGCAGTCATTGGGAGGAGAGGGTGTAATGGAATGGAATGGGAAATAGAGATCAACATGCGACCATAGCAAGTTGAGTTGTGGGGGTTAGAGAAAGAGAAAGGAAGAGTCACAGTGTGGATGGAAGATGAGTGAGTGAGTGAGTGAGTGAGTGAGTAAGTAGTAGCAAGTGAGGTGAAAGTTCCAGGTTCCAGTCAGAATGCCGCCCGATCGCGAGGTTCTCGCCAATGACGCACCATCAAACAACAGTCTGAAGGATCACGTGGTGGTGGTGGTGGGTTTCGTATTATTGAGCGCATTCTAGTAATTCTCTCACTCTCACTCTCACTCCCAAATCCTTTTTCTTGTCCTGAGGCACCCGGGGGGGCGGGAGGATCTTATTGCGCCCGACTGCTTATCGGTTTCCCACTGCTGTCTGTCGGCTGGTCCCGAAACCTGCCTGTCACTGCCAAAAAAAGAAGAAAAGAAAGAAGGGGGAAAAAGTACCCACAGCGCATCATTTCTCTCTCTCTCCACTCTACTTACTACGTACCTTAATTGTCTACTACATAGTAGTCTGTGTGTCTGTCCAACGGTTTTCCTATACTCACACAGAAGTCACATTCGCTAACTACTCAGTTTGGCTCCTCTTGTGAAAGATGCACTTTTACTTTCATTGAACTTCATGATCCCTAGTTTGAAGAGTACTTATATACTTCTGCGACTTCAATCCTTCTTCAATTCTTCCCCCCTTACGGCTTGATGGATACGATGATGCTACCGCGCAGGTCATTACCTGACGGCAAGTCTCACCTTTCTTTTTCTTACTGACTCGAAGGATACTCCAATGATGCTCGGAACAAGGGATAATTGACTCTACCGTGGTTTAATATTTTAGCAGTGAAGGTCATGCTACATAACCCGGTCGGGGAAACGAATCCCGGAAGAGGCAGACAAGTGGAGACAAATTCATGCACATCCTAGCCATCATCATCATCATATTTATAGCGTGGTCATCAGCCATTACTAGCCTATTTCTCCCATCCATCTATTTAACTACTCCAACCCCCTCCCCCCGGTTTCCCTGCGTCGTGCACTTGCCCTCTCACACCTTCAAGTGCTCATCAAACCACTGCACGGCCTGGATGAAGGCATTCTCCTTGGCGAATAGCACCTTGGGGTCGCTGAGGTCTCCCCGCAATGCGAATCTATGACATGATTAGTTTAAGGCGCAGTCCATTGGGTTTCCAAAATCACTCACCCATGACCGACACCGCCATAGAGAGTCTGGGCATAGGGCAACGCCAGCGTTTCCAAGATCTGTTCCGACTCGTGTCGCTTCTCGGCGGGGAAGACGTGATCCTTCTCGGCCGCCGCAATGGCCAGAGGACCCTTGATGGCCTCCAATTCCTCCTTTTCGACCAGACTAGGGTGCGCCAGGAAACCGACATCCACCTTCCCTTGGTCGGGCTTCAGGAACCGAACAACATACTTGGCGCCAAAGCAGTAGCCGATGGCACCGATTTTCTGTCAAGAGATCAGTCCCACCGTTCGTCCGGCCAGCCATTGGGCAGCGGAAAGATAGGCCTACCTTGATGTTGTACTTGGTGCGCAGTTCAGCTATGCACTTTTCCAGGATGGGGTCGATGACGGGGGGAGTATGTGCGATCTTCTTCTCGTGGTACTCGCCCACCAGCCATTTTTGGAGGTCCAGGCCCGCGGCGCCACCAATGGGGATGGGATCACCATAGAAGAGATCGGGGATGAGCACCAAGTAGCCATTGGCGGCGAACTGGTCAGCGATCAGCTGGGCATTCTTGAACCGGTGGCCCAGGATATCAGTCAGTCTATTTGGGTCAGTTCAGACTATTCAGTTGCAACCATTGCAGTGAGAGGGACAGACAGGATGATTGCTTTCTCGGGAGCGGCACCCTCGGGAGCCTTCTTGTAGACTTCAAAGTCATCAATGGTGATGAAGTCGCCAGTCGCGTCGCCGTCATGCTTGACGCCCTGGAAGCAGCACTTTCTGGGAGGGTAGGAGGTCATTGTAATGTGTGTAGTTGGTGGGGGGGGGGGAAGTTCAAGGGACTTGGTCGGAAGGGTTTGGATGCTTGACTATGTGACCATGGACTTCTCCCGGTGACTTTATACCCCCTTTACTACCTTATCCAAATGCAGTTTTGAGTGATCGGAATCATCTTTGACGGCATATCTCCCTAGTCCTCGGTTACGGACCGTGGTGTTTCTGGTCGGGAAGGATGCTGGGGCATGGTACTTCCTATTGTCCTCTAGAGATCCGAGGACTGCCCGATGGGGAATTGCCCCGACCGAGATTCGGGTTAGCGCGGGTCCCGCGCTAACCTCAGTCTCGGCCTTTCCCGCTGGCATCCCGATTGCGAGGCAACTTCCTCGTTTTACCCAAAAGAGGTAAGAGCATGTTGGGAGTTATTGCCTCAGGCAGTCAGCCTTTAGATTATCTCCTACATACACTGCTAACTAACCTTTCCTCGGCTTGTATCTGCATAGGTACTACACTACTCGGTACTAGTATTAACTATCTACTACTCACTCTGTGGGGCTGGAACAACTGCCACCACCGGTCCCGCCGCGAGTTGCACCGATCGTCCCTCCCCCACATGCCACCACAGAGCGTACTGTGTATACCAACCAGTGTCCCGCGCTGTGGAGGTCGGTATCGGCAACCCGTGAACATAAGCAAGAGACGGGCTGTCATTTGGACTTTCGTCTACTATTCGCCATTCTGACATACCTCACCTCGTCGACCATTGCCGATTCAATCGATCGATGAGTTTATGGAGTTCAATATGACCACTGCCGGGTCGCAAGGTGAGAAGACACTTGTCCTAACACAATGAGCATTGCATGCGTTCGCATCCTGACCAAGATACACTTCAGTAGAAGAAATGCGACCGTATCTCTTCCTGCTCCGCCTGCATCACCCGCCGGGCTCCCGATAGGCGACAGCGCGTGCTCCTCTCGCCCCCGCGACTATGATGCCATGGAGAAGGTACACAGATCCTTGCAGAAGGTACCACCGGCCCTACAAAAGCTCCTGCCGAGCAGCCCACAGTCCGAATCATCTTCAATGGCTCCCCATTCACTCTTTCATCCTCGTGTGGACGGGAAACCAATCTTTTGAGAGATACAACTTTCAGCAGGCCCTACGATTATCTCGGCAGCGTTAGCCAGAATGGCGGCCGACAGCGAGTTCAGTACGCCTAATGTCGACAATGTCCGAGCGAATACTGTTTGGGTGGGAACTACTATTCTTGGCGCGTTTGGCTGGATCTAATAGGCCATTGGCGGAAGAGGAGCTTTGTGACGGGTCTGTCTATCCGCACGTTTTTTGAGGGACCGTAGATATACACCTCTGCCTACACCTGCTCTTGATGCCTGCTGGGGAAACGCAGTCTGTCATACAAATTCCTGCTTTCTTTCGTATAATCTACGGCAACTTGTCATAGGATTACTGCTCGGCTCAAAGGACGATGCCTTTGCTCAAAGTCAGATCCCGGCTCAAACTCATCCAGTACCGTGACCTATTCATGGGAAGCCATGACGTACATTTGGGGCTCCCTGTTGAGAGGGCGCCCTCCCTCACATGATGGAAGCTCCGTGTCGCAATATCGGTTTCGCGTCATTTGCAATGGTTTGCCGGGAGATATAAACATGAGTCGGATCCAGGAAAAACCGGCAGACCAGATTGGGTAGCCTTCTCAAAAGCTTCGTGTCAGCCGAATGAGCTTGAGCACCGGCTCCAGGGCCTGGGATGGGGCTTCCCACACATAGGCACTCTGCATTCAATAACCGTCATGTCGACATCACGGATTATTCACACCGTGAAGCATTCACTTAAAGTCATCACGACATGATGGATCATTCACTACTAGTCATTATCTATATCTTGGATCCTGGGCCCACTTCCGCATCAGCGCAGTTAGCAGAGGCTTCTCCAGTGTCGGAAAACCATATTCGAACATGGCTCCCTTTAAAGGCAGCATCTCCCGGCGTGAGGTCCAGTGGGTCAGACTCAGCAGTTCCTGCACGTACAACAAGATCTGTTATTTCAGGCGAACCAAGTCTGTGGTCGGCCTATCTCACCTCATCAGCATCATTGGACAGTTCCTGATCGTCTCTGCTAAAAACCGTACGCTTCCTCTTCTCACCTTGTCCATCTATACTGACACTTGAATAGGCTACGATAAACTACAGGACCAAAATGTACGGGGGTATCCCGATGCTCGGGTAGACGCCAGCAACCTACTTAGCAGCCTCACTTTTGGGATGTGCGCCTGCACCTTTTTGAATGTCTTTTTGTGCCTCATCATAATATGCGACTGGTTCTGGCCGGAGCGGAAAGAGAACCTTTGCATTCAATGGGCATGGAAACTCGGTTCCGCTGCGGCGAGCCTGTTCCAACTGGCAGCATGCGTAGTGATTACTATCATCGTGGCGACGCAGGGGGTCCAGATACACGGTGTGTCAGCAGATGAACAAGAAACCATCCGAAGCACCTGGGACTGGATCTCTCTGGCGTACCGAAAAGATGGCCGGACAGTAGCGGGGCTAGTGTTCTACTGGGTTGGGTGTCTGTTCCTATTCTGGGGGTAAGTTCTTGGATGAAATGAATGCGATGAGAGATGTCTAACCATGTGCCAGTACCATAATTATGTGGCATTGGTACGCATACCACAACACTGACAGGCCGTTTGCCGAAGATGCGAGAAAGGGAGGGAGCCAAGTCGCTGGTGAAGGAAGGACTTGAGTTAGGCTTCTTCACTGCAGTGAAATGGTTAGCCGAGGCTAGTTTTCAGCTTTGTTGCCGTATTGCTGAAGCCCTGGGGCCAATTATGGAACACCAGGAAAAATTTCAGAGGTACTTGCTGCATAGTTGAAGTCTCTGGTTCGAGGATCTGATTATATTGATTACCTAGATGTTCAGTCAGATAAGACTAGAACGCCTTGCAACAAACATAGTCTCAGGGAGACAACGTTCACGGTGTAGCCATGTGTCAACCATGTCAAAGCATGTCCTTGACTGCCACGAATATTTTCCTTCCTACGTCATATAAGCGATGATCGCCTCTTCCTTTGTTTTATTACAGCGTACTCACTTTCGGAAACTTGGCTACCTAGCTCGAGCTATGGTGGGCTGTCATATAGTAGTATTGCTTCTGCGGCAAATAGGAACAACAGTTCGTCCCACGGTTAAGGTTGGGGGCCAGGGGAGGTGGTGCAGCAATAGCTGCAGGGTACACTTCCAACCTAGCAAAGCGTCTTTGAGGATCTAGGTATTGATCCCGTCACATGGTGTATGCATAGGCGATTCCAAACACCCCACTGTTACACCCGGACTGGCATGACTCAGGATGTAATTTGCTATGCGAGAAACCGGATCTCATCTCCCTGGCAAGAACATGCAGTGACTCCCACGTGCACGCAGGCATGACGCAGACTGGCTCAGTGGGTCTAAAGGAAACACCAGCTGTTCTGGAAAGCCGGCGCTGCATACTACAGCGACAAAATGCCGCATGTCAGCTAATACAGTTGCCTGATACTACATCGATTCCGATCGCGGAGTGTGATCGTCTCTATGGGCTTCCATCCCTTCCAGACGATCCAACCGATGAGAAAGCGAGTGACAGAGCATGGCAGAACCGCGTGGCCGACGGAGTGGCACCTTGGCTGGCAGGTCCAAGCTTTGGCCAAGGAAGCTTGCGCTCGGCGTGGGTTGCCGAGGCGGGCAGCCCCGAGCCGTTGTTTACCCTCTTAAAATCAGGGTGTCCGTGAGGGACATCATCTCCTATCAGTGCCTGGCTCATCCAAACTGCTACTTATCCACGTGTGTTCTGGGAATGACTCTACATTGGTGACTCCGTCGTCAGCACGAGGCAGCGGAGATACGAGGGATATTAGAAGAAGTGGGAAGACACCGGCAGCGACCCCGGAGATAAGCCCTTGTCGGGTGCATAACTACTTACTTACTAGTTGACTACACTAGTCGATTAAGCTGCTGCCATTGACCAACGGCAGTCTGTGCCTGTGTCCCTCCCACCCGTCCCTTCTGCCAATGGGAGAGTTGGCCGAAACCACGCCTTTAGACTCCAGAGTATGATTCGAATCCCGTGAGTCCCGCTGAGAGGTGGGATTCAGCCCTGTTACGTCGAGCTGGAGGGCTTCTCGCTTTGGGATGCTGAGCACGTGGGCTCTTCTGTGAGTCTGTCACTGGTAGACATCCCTCCGTCCTCGCTTTCGCTACTTTCTAGCTCACTCATCTTGAGCCGTCTCCTGGCTTGCGTGAGGCGAACAGCTCACAGATGCATGCTGGACCGCAATCTCCGATCGCCGGGTATAAAAGGTCCTCCAAACCCCTCTCGGTCTATATGTACCCCGCTCGTCATCTCCAATCCTCTCGAGAGCACCTTCTCCAGCTTTTGTCAACTGTACCTTCGCAATGCCTCGCACCTCTCTCCTCACTCTGGCCTGTGCTCTGGCCACGGGCGCATCCGCTTTCTCCTACGGCGCTGCCATTCCTCAGTCAACCCAGGAGAAGCAGTTCTCTCAGGAGTTCCGCGATGGCTACAGCATCCTCAAGCACTACGGTGGTAACGGACCCTACTCCGAGCGTGTGTCCTACGGTATCGCTCGCGATCCCCCGACCAGCTGCGAGGTCGATCAGGTCATCATGGTCAAGCGTCACGGAGAGCGCTACCCGTCCCCTTCAGCCGGCAAGGACATCGAAGAGGCCCTGGCCAAGGTCTACAGCATCAACACTACTGAATACAAGGGCGACCTGGCCTTCCTGAACGACTGGACCTACTACGTCCCTAATGAGTGCTACTACAACGCCGAGACCACCAGCGGCCCCTACGCCGGTCTGCTGGACGCGTACAACCACGGCAACGATTACAAGGCTCGCTACGGCCACCTCTGGAACGGCGAGACGGTCGTGCCCTTCTTTTCTAGTGGCTACGGACGTGTCATCGAGACGGCCCGCAAGTTCGGTGAGGGTTTCTTTGGCTACAACTACTCCACCAACGCTGCCCTCAACATCATCTCCGAGTCCGAGGTCATGGGCGCGGACAGCCTCACGCCCACCTGTGACACCGACAACGACCAGACCACCTGCGACAACCTGACTTACCAGCTGCCCCAGTTCAAGGTCGCTGCTGCCCGCCTAAACTCCCAGAACCCCGGCATGAACCTCACCGCATCTGATGTCTACAACCTGATGGGTATGTGATTACGGTACAATCATTGGCTCAAACCTCCAGCTGACAGCATCCTAGTTATGGCCTCCTTTGAGCTCAATGCTCGTCCCTTCTCCAACTGGATCAACGCCTTTACCCAGGACGAATGGGTCAGCTTCGGTTACGTTGAGGATTTGAACTACTACTACTGCGCTGGGTGAGTTTACCATTCGATCCATTATTGTCTCGGATCAGCAACTAACGATCGATAGTCCCGGTGACAAGAACATGGCTGCTGTGGGTGCCGTCTACGCCAACGCCAGTCTCACCCTCCTGAACCAGGGACCCAAGGAAGCTGGCTCCTTGTTCTTCAACTTGTACGTTCTCGGCAGAATCAAAGTCTCACAAAAAGAAACTCTTCACTAACATATAGTAGTGCCCACGACACCAACATCACCCCCATCCTCGCCGCCCTAGGCGTCCTCATCCCCAACGAGGACCTTCCTCTTGACCGGGTCGCCTTCGGCAACCCCTACTCGATCGGCAACATCGTGCCCATGGGTGGCCATCTGACCATCGAGCGTCTCAGCTGCCAGGCCACCGCCCTCTCGGACGAGGGTACCTACGTGCGTCTGGTGCTGAACGAGGCTGTACTCCCCTTCAACGACTGCACCTCCGGACCGGGCTACTCCTGCCCTCTGGCCAACTACACCTCCATCCTGAACAAGAATCTGCCAGACTACACGACCACCTGCAATGTCTCTGCGTCCTACCCGCAGTATCTGAACTTCTGGTGGAACTACAACACCACGACGGAGCTGAACTACCGCTCTAGCCCTATTGCCTGCCAGGAGGGTGATGCTATGGACTAGATGCAGAGAAGTAGGTCCCGGGATACTTTTAGTGATGATTGATATCCAAGTTTGGTGGTGACGATCACCTTGTTAATAGTCTTGTACAGTCATACGGTGAATGTAAATAATGATAATAGCAATGATACATGTTGGAATCTCGTTTTGTTCTTTGTGTGCATAGGCGCTTTGGGGGGTGTATTTTTAGGCGTTAGACTTATTTTCAATTCGTGTATAATGCGGTCAGTAAATGAATCATCAATTATTAGAATGCAATGCTGTGTACGTGAAACTATTGGATTAAGACGCAGCTACTAGCTGACTGCTTGGTTACTTTCTGTGTACACCGCATGCCGTCTCGTATGGTCGGGGTTCAACTTGGACCGTGCTTCGCGAACTTGCCATACTCTCAACGGTCGCATCGGGCTATTTGGCCTCGACGAAAGTGAGATTCGGTTCATAGATAGTTCTAGTGAGCAATAAGGTTAATTAAGTGTGTTGACAAGGGATTAGCAGACTGGAGTGGTGACTAAAAGTTCAATCTTGATGGCCCTTCCGAATGTTGCGGCCAAGTCAGGGTTGAAATTATATATCACCGACACAGCACCAACTGAGACAAAGGTGGTTCGGTACTACTACTACTACTACTTATTTGGGTATTAGCACAACTTCAATTGATGTACAAAGGCGACCGATCATCTCGAAGAGTTTACCGTACTGAAGCTGATAGCCATGATCCTCACATACCTATTTGCTTACAGCATACTCGCACTGTCATATGCTTCCCAGAGGTTGGTTGAAAAAGCATCGGATTGAGTATGTAGGGTACAGGTAACCTTTCTACTATCTGTGTTCTAGCGCATCCACCTTACCAAGGATTCAAAGATGTACATAACAAAACCATTAGCCTTCAAGAACTGGTTTAATGATGTTCTTTGAGAAATGATGTGCAGAGGATGGGGATAAGGTAAAAAAAGAAAAAACAAAAAATGCTTCCACGCGGATTCGAACCGCGGACCTCATGATTACTAGTCATGCGCTCTACCAACTGAGCCATAGAAGCTGGTTGATGTATAGTGTAAAGATTGTTTGCCTTATATGCAGCAAATAGACACGCAGCAGATTGATGGCTGTCACAAAAGACGCTTTCTTATGCAGGTTCCCGGATTGACAGGACAACATCCACATCAACCTCCTGTCCTGTCTGACCAACTGTTACAAAGGTTTATCTGCAACATCCTCCTCGACCCAATAGATCAGTCCATTTTCTAATTCTTCCGCTGGGACTCACCATGGCTAACAGCGTACTTCCTAGACCATCTATCTCATCAGTCACCACTTCAAATCAATTCCCCATCGTTCCTGACCCCCAGCCACTCCAATCTAGCAGCAACATACAAAGAATCCCACAAAGAAATCAGCATCGATGACGTGAGATGTGCCCAACTGGACCTGATGAGGCTGAGGGATGGCGGAGCAGTGGATTCGGATCGTGCAGCCATTGGGGGCCACGGTAAGCCGCCACAGCTTCAGCCCCGGTAGTAGTAGACTACTAGTAGTGTCGAACCCTGTCAGATCCAAATTGTCTGAGATATAAATAACCCCGAACAGATGACCTATCATCCTACCCCTTTAAGCCATCAAAACAACCGTTCTCTCTCCATTGACAGTACGCACTACAACATATCATCACTACAATTCTGTCCCTGCACGAGAAATGTCCGACCACGATGTCCCCGCGTTCGATGTCTACTTCATCTTCCAGAAACAGGAGCTGAAGCTTGTCTTCAACTCGACAACCCAAGCAAATGCATACCAGGCCTCAAACCGCGAGGGTCGCATCTTCGCCGCGGAGCCCACCGCTGTCTACCTCCCTCACTCCCCAGCCATGACCTATCTCCGCGACAGCAGCAGTGGTCTGGTAATTGGCTTCGCGACCTCCGAAGACGCAGAGACATGGTGCCGCACCTCCATTCTCGGCCATATCTACTCGTCAGAACCATCACCTGAAGTTCGCATCAGACGCAACTGGACGGACGAAGAGCTGGATGAGGTGCTTCGCATTCAGTCCAACCCGAATGTCTTTCGAAAAAGTGTCCCCTTCACCCTGCGCCCTGCCATGCCACCAAGCATCACTCCTCCCGCAAGCAATTCCTCTTCCTCTACCACTACCTCGAGAGCCCCGAGTGGTCAGTTCGCACCGCCTCCGTGGGCACAGGTCTCGCTGAACCTGGATTCCGATTCTCCGCCAGCTACGACGTTGACCCCACCGAATCAATATCAACTGCCAAGCACATACTCGCCAGTATCGGATCAGCCACCCAGGGGAAGTATCATAGCGTACCCCGGTCCACAGGCACCACGCGCACAATCCTACGCCGCACCTTCAGAGACAGGGAACGGGCCAGCGCAAAGGAAGCTTATTCCACAGGTCGACGAGCTGGGAGTCGCTCCTCTCCGACCTACACATATTTCACCGAGAACGTCCAGCACGAGTCTTCATCGTGTATCAGTTCAGTAGACTTTCGGGAAAGGGAAATGAATGGGACGATTTACATAGCGATGGCGTTTAATGTTGAAGGTAATGCAGTTTTGCATAATTCTTTCTATTGTTGGGTTATTATAATAAAACAGTCGTTAAGAAGAGAATAAGAGTTGATCAGCGGTCTATCGCCGTTCATCGTAGGTGCTGCAATAGAGGGGGTTTTCCTCTGCTGTAGCACCTCATTAATCATGTTTGCGTTATTGAACACAGCGCATCCGACATTATAACCATCGAATCAGCATGATCGGAGTAATTATAAGGTTCGATAGTCATCTATAGATAACCAAACTTCCCCTCAATACTGACGATCCGGCCAAGCATCATACAAGCCCTCGGACACAGTCACGTTGGAGAACGCAACACCACCCACACCATTATGGAAGAAGCTGATGTTAGTGGAGTTGGCGTACCAGGAACTATCCTCACGTTAGCATCACCACACTTCAATTGTCAACGAGGAAGATACTTACCGAACCCAGGTACTCAACGCAAACCGACCATTGGCATACACCTCCAACACGGAGTTATCCACTACGAGAGTCAAATCCAGCGTTTCAATGGCCTGCTCGCCACCATTCAGCACGTCAAACAGACGCAACTTGCCAGCTTCCGCACTGCTATCGATGCCATCAGTCGTGCGTGCCGCAGCACTAGTGTTACTACGATCCACGATAATCGACTCATTCGAGAACTGGTAGTACACAGTGGTACTCTCGTGCTCCGACGAGAGGATCTGGAAACCACTCTTAAGTCCCGATCCCCTAGCCGAAGCAGGGAAGGACAGCTGCGCGGACAGAACGAAGAACTTCTCGGACGGCGAGCGCTTGAACGGAACAACACCACTGCTGTTCAGGGTGCGGCCGGACTCAGTGAACGACGTTCCCGACAGCAACGCGGCCTTGGTCTCCCGGGCAATGGAGATACCCAGTGTCTGCAGCTCGACGGTGCCCGCACTGCCATTGCTGCTCACGACCTGCCACGAGGCACCAGACTCCCGGGCCAGAGCATTGTCCACCACATTGGGGATATACAGCACGCGCAGCTCACGCGGAAGCAGCAGCGTACCGGTCCAATTCTGCTGGTTCGTGGGGAACCCTTCGGCCTGTTCGAACAGGTCACCGGACAGCCAGACGTAGGAGATGAAGCGATCCGGGGCGCCGCTCTTCGTGGAAGGCAGAGAAGTCGAGGGGAGAACCTTTCCGGCAGCAGCGTAAGAGGAGAAGCCCCAGTCGAGGAAGCCCGCCATGTTGGGGGTGAATGAGACAGAGCCATTGCGGGAGACTGTACCAGACACCCAGAGCATGTCGTGGATGCTGGTGAGCTGGGGCACGACGGGCAGGTCAGAGCCCTCAGTGCCGATGGTGGTGAAGATCTGGCCGTGGGGGTTGTATCCGTACTCGTCGAGACTGAAGACGTTACCGGTCTCAAAGTTGAAGGCCCAGCGGCCGGCCCAGGTGCCGTTACCCCAGGTGGAGTTGGTGGGTTCGTGCCACCATTGGCCGAGGTACTCCCAGTACTGGAAGTCCGAGTCGTACTGGCGGTAGAGGAATTGGGCGGGGCCCTTTTCGTGCAGACCACCGGAGATGACGGTGTACCAGGTGTTGTTCTTGCTGTGGAGGAGGGAGTCGAGAGTGGGGTTTTGGAAGACGTAGGGGTCCCGGAATGCGGTGACGTTGTAGGCGAAGGGAGGGCCAGGGATGACGGGGCCCTGGTCGAGCTTGGTGAAGTTGCTGCCGCCGTCGGAGGAGACGGCGAGGGATTGGGTCTCACTGCCACGGGTGTAGGGGATGGACCAGTGGATGGGGAGGTAGGAGACGGAGGTGTAGAGGAGGGTGGGGAGGCCGTTGATGCCGTTGGGGATGACGGAGCCGTCGAAGACACCGACGGGGTCGTTGATGCCCCCGGGGACAATGACTTGGTTGCCTTGGTTGAGGTCTTGGTAGGTGGCTAGGTCATCGGTGGTGGCACTGGAGATGCCGCTGCCATCGTGAAGGAAGCCGACGTGGAAGAGGCCCGTGGCGGGATCGGTGTAATGCAGGCAGGGATCACCGATCTGGCCGTTTGGGGGCAGGACGTGGGCGCGGGGACGCCATGTTTCGAAGAGGGAGCCATTGGGCAGGGTGGAGAGGTTTGGAGGAGCGACATTGTAGTCGATGACAACGGAGGCCCGCGTCTGCATGGACGGAGAGGCAGCAGCAGCACTGCCGAGCAGTACGGAAGCCGTTTGAAGCTTCATGTCGAGGTATCGCAAAGGAGGGGACACTCACTTCCCCTCCCTTGGCATAGGGGAAAAAAGTGACACTTTATATGGCATGTTTTGTTGATGCAGGGGTGCCGGGGAATTTCCGACAACTAGAACTAGAATGGTTGGAATGCTGGATGAATATTCCGTATCCTCGGGGAAATTGAGGATTGCGGAGGAAGTCCGCTTAGGGTTCGCGCGGGGAGATTCAGCGTGGATTCCCCGAAATTTCCCCCGGGTTCCCGCAACGAGGTTATGATGCTGCCGATCTTCAAATGGGGACCCGCTGAGGTTCCGTTGACCTGTTTGAACTTACTTGCTGAGTAGGTAAATTAGCTCGTGGAGTGCTTTGGATTAACCGTAAAGAGAAAGTGAGAGCCGGAGGTTTGTCGGTATGACGAGGTGGAGATCTAGTGGGAACGGCAGTGAAGAAGAGATGAAAAGTGGGCAGATTAGAGGAAGAAAAGGTTTAACGACTCGTATAGGACACGAGGTGCTGCTTCAAGTATAATTTAGGGGTGTTTTGGGCGAACGGTGTGAAGAAACTTCATCGCGCAATGTGTGCCTTGGTCTGACTTGTTCGCACTGGTCCGTCACACTCGCAGCGATGATGAGGGTTCAGAGATCTCTTGTCATCGGAGGGAGATAAGTACCAGGCACCAAGATACTCCTTGTTCAAAGCTCATTATCAATCAATCAGTCTGGGCCGGAAGAGGGTCGGGAAGCTGATTGCCGACACGGCATATGGTGGAGACTGCGAGGTTTGTGACATTGGGTCAGGAAGGTCACAGAATAAGGATCAATATGCTCTGTGAGACGCGACTATCAACCATTACATGAGTTAATCAATACTTATCGGTATCTCTTGTCGGGTTTCTGCAACAATTGATCAAATCGGATATAGCAACAAAGAAAGAAACCGACACATTTCGTGCGAAAGACGGAACTAGCTGGTGATACTGGGGGCAGCAGGAGAGAACATCCTGAGTTATGAACCCTTGTGCACATTGAACGAGTGAGGGCGTTCCAGATGATGTATGTCTAGTTACAGATTGTGGATCTATGACAAATGATGTAGAGTAATGAAATATGGGGCAAGGACTGAATACAGATGGGTCGTTGCGAATTCTGTGACATTCTTCTGCTTATACTATGCTGACATATGCTGTCCCTTTACTTACCGCAAGGAACTAGAGCTGATGTTTCACACGTACCTGGAAAGTAGAATTAGGATTGGGCGGAGAAAAGAGTTACTCAGAGTTAAACGACACAATCGTAATTCGGAAAATCTGTGCTTCATGGAGAGAGCATGAATTTATCTTATATCTTCATCTGATGGGGCCTTGTAATTATGGAGATAGAAATGTGTTTCGATAATAAGAGCAAAATTTTTAATTTTATTCAATGCTGTTTTGTTTTCTAATCCCGAAATGACGTCGTGCCCTGAATATTTGATTTATGTACCCCTCAAACTACTATGTCTAACAGCATATCTCTTATAAAGTTAGGTAACACCCCGTAGCCTGCCTTTTCTTGTGTCCTCCATAATACTCCAATTGTATAAAGAAGCATGCTCACAGTGTGGCGCCAGCAACTGACGGCGAGCAGAACCATGCGCAGATTAGTCCTGAACGGGTCGAAGAAGCCGCCGTCCACTACCAAATTTGTCAATAACAACGATTAATGTTAGATATTTTATCTTGGTAATCGCTCAATAGTGGTTTCAGCCTATGCTAGAAAAGGCAGATTTTCAATCAGAGAGACTCATTTCGAGTGAGGTCCAGAGAAACCTTTCGAGACGCATTCTAGGGAGATCCAACAATGCGAGATGAATTGGCCAAGCACAAGATAGCTAAAGGGAGACGTGTAGGAGGGGCCAGTCGGATCCGCAGATTCCGACCAAGCTACAGCTGCAGCGGGCCTTCTTGAAGTCAGAGCATCAGCCCTACAGCAGTCTTCACTGGATCTAGCTTTCTGTTACATCTAGGTAGCCTAGCCCTATGGCATACTTCAGGGTGCAGAGAGTTGGAGATGACAATGTATAGAATTTAATTATTCAAAATTCTGCCTCGGACAGACTGTCGGTCAGAGGTCCTGTGCGAGTCTTTTACGATGATGCATCTACTATCGATGTTGACGTGTCCCTAGAGGTTCTTGTGGATGAAAGACAAAGGTTGCGTCATGACAACTTTGATGCATGGCAATCCCAAACGTGTCCAAGCGTTCCCTGCAGTTCCTAACCATGATTGGTTACCATCACTCAACACTCCATGCAGATTCTATTGGTGAGCCCCAGTGTGCTGCTACAATGATTGGCTCGGTCCATATCTCTGACTTGTCCCAATTCAATTGGTCGGATGGGTGCAGGGTTATGTAGGTCCAACAGGCGATCTGTGCTTACAAGGCTAGCAGGCGGAACATTCTGTGACAGGTACAGTCGACTCTTCTCACATGCTGCCATTCGTTACGGTAGAGGGCCATCCATTGACCGGCTCGCAGCTTGATAGAGGCGTCTGGCGTATCTAGCTTGTACGACAGCAGAAAGTCACTTCCTATGCAAATTGCTGCATGGTCCACGAGAGCAGGCCTAACGGGAATTATTGGCTTGTAGTGCGGTGATCGCTCTGGCGGTTTCCTGTCACAAATGGCACGTTGGGCTGGTGTCATGAAAGAACCAGACTTCATCTAGCGATTCTGTGCGCACACTAGCATGGCGCTAAGTGCTAGTAATGAAAGGGATCCTGGTCAAAGTCGAAGACCCAGCGACCAGGCTCCAAGAAATTGGAATCTTGTATCACCGATGTTGTACGGCAACTGAGAGAACGATCATATACCCCGTGGGATCGGAAGACGTCAAATTGGGCTAGAGGTCATCTGAGCGAAATATTCTCAAAGTGAGCCTCACCCCGGTCTCATAGTGGATCGAAGTTATACTGATCTCGGCGTTGTTCGCAAGCATGAGTGCCTCGCGCTAAATTTAAGACGATGTAACTGTACTGCATGGTGGCGGTCAGAGAAAGGAGCCCGAGTTCTTGACGGCTCTTAGTGGAGTAGACACAAGGCCTGGGGCAAGATAGATCAAAGTAATAACTAGGATCTGGAGTGCTCCTCCCCACTCAGACGCCTAGTCTAGGATAAAGACAGGAGCGGCCATTAGTCACGTTGGAAGAGGCTAGACAGTATACTGTTTTAATAGCGGCGAACAGGCAGACTGAAAAGTCAGATGGAGAAAATATCGAAAGCTGACGGTGATAGCGGCTTAATTCTTCACGTCACCATTGAACATGGCGACAGAGTCTCCAGCCTCCCATTTAACCGCCGAGATGCTTGTGACGTTGGAGATGTTCAAGGATTCGCCGTGGGAGGAACCGGTCCCCGTTAGTCCCTTCTGGGACAGTATAGACTACTCGATCGCTCGCAATTTCCTCGGCAGCTTTACACACGCCGAACGGGCACAGCTGCCCATCGACGAGGACAGCACCGCTGACCAGCAATCCAAGCTTATACTCCTCCTACGACTCCTGCAGAAGAAATTGGATGAAGAAGAAGCTGCCACTTCTCCCCCATCCAGCCTCTACACCAGCAATTACCACCAGTGGTACCGATTATGGCAAGGGATCTACGTCCTTCAGGACGAGTTGAACCTGCCCGAGGCGGAACAGACCGTTCGGATGCTGGTGGACAAGACACCATACAAATCGAATCCAGTACCATCGCATATGCTAGCAGAGCACCTGGTAAAAGTTGGCAAGTACGAAGAGGCAGAACGGACCAAGAGACCGATCCGCGCTTGGATGGATGCCCGGCCGCATTTGGGGCCGTCCTCCCCACAGGCGCTCAACGCTCGTCGGCTTATCGCCCAAGCCTTGTGGGGACAGGGACCGTCGAGGCGCTCGGAAGCCGAAGCTCTAATAGCCGAGATTCATTGGATCGTCGAGGAGATGGGAGAAGGGCAGTTTGCGGTTTACCAGGCGGAAGAGAGAAGGTTGAACCAGGTGATGATGGCCACTCTACAGTGACTCTGTTCGTATATTTGGGTGAATTTCCCTAGTTATAGGGACCGCCAATGCCCACTCTCAATGGCTCGGGCTATGCTTTCTTCCCCAATCGTTACTAGGATGTGCAAATTGTTGCCATCAAGCCGTATGGCAGCTTCCTGTTGCATGGGCTTGTCGCGCGCCACATACAAACGTGCGCGTAGGTAGATACTGAAGAGTGCGGGAAGAATTTAACGGCGCAAGAACGAGGACTGTCATACATGCAACTGAATTTTTGCGCATTCTTCTTAGTAATCTATTGTTGGGTGATATATGTCGTGACGGAAGTATTATACAGGAGAAAAGGGCAGTTAAAGAGCGCGAGATTAGAGTCCGTCGAGCGGCTTAGGTATTATAAGGAATGTGGTCTGGCGAGGGTGGGTGTATATGTCAATCGAGGAGTCGCAGGAAAAGGGTATATTCGGGAAGGAAGTTGGAGGAAGGCAATTAGTCGGTGCCGATGCACTTTTCGCAGCAGCTGCAGCAGTGGCAGCAGAAGCAGCAACTGAGCGAAACCAAGCAGTCAGCACATGGATGTACACAAAAAGGGGCAATTCTCGTATGAATTTGGCGGGGCGATCACTCACGCATCCTCCGGTCCGTCACCACCACGCAAGCGCAATTCCATTCCTTCGCCAAGGGACTGAAGTGGTGTTTCTTAGTTCTCAAGTCTGCGGTGTTATAGCATAGAATGCAATCCAAGCACGTACAGGCTGATCGGTGACGATCTCATCCATGGTGGGGGCGGCCGGGCTCTGAGGTTGGTTCATGGTGAGAGTGACGGGATCCCAAGTCACCTCCTGAACCTCCTCCTGGCCGGAGGGGCGGAACCAGCTCATCACAGCATCAAACATTATGTCTATAAATATTCGAGCGGTATTTCAACCTGCGATTGAGTGATATGGAGCAAAATTGGCCGTGAATTGTTGCCAAGGAGCGAGCGATAAACCCAAAAAAACGAGTGTCGGGGTGGATGGGTGTAGGCAAAAATTACAAGGAGCGGCGGGTTGAGGGAGAAAAGAAGAAAATGAAGAGGATGGAAGAGGAGAGAGGATGACAGAAAAGGCTAAGACGACACCATCGACGCCATTTAAGATTGATCCCGCGGACTATGCGGAGCTATGTACACAAGGCTCGCATTTTTTTTCCCTGCTTCCGCAGGGGGGCCTTTTCGCTGAACGAGGGGACAGACAGCCAGCCTAGGCAGAGAGAAGAGTTCCGATAAAGGTCTCCATCCAGGAAGCTTAGCCCGATCGGTTTGCCCTTAGTGGCCGAACCATTTGTGAATGGCCTCGTCGCAGGCGACGAGTCCTTGCTGTCAGGGCTCCGCCCGGACATACGTAACTTAAGCGGAGTCGAATTTTCACGGCTCTGACGGGTTGCCGTTGTCCGAGAGGGGAGGCCTACGTAGACCATCTCATCCGCGAGGACCAAAGTGGTTAATCGCGTGGACAGGGAGGCGCATGCTTGGTGGAGAGGGGAATGTACAATGGTAGAAGCACTAGGGAAGGCTAGGAGTTGGCACTATTCAGGCCCAGCAATTTGGTTCGTTAGATAGGGAGGAGATAAGTTCGTCCAGAACGACGAAGAAACATAGTGAGTAAGTCAATGGAGGAGACAAGAGCTAGGAGATCCTCAGCCTTAGGTGGTGCTGATTGGCAGAGATGGCCATGTCAGAAAAGCTGGGGAGGTCAATCCGGCCAGCGACCCGACAGGATTCAGATCATGATGGGAAGAGATTTGCAACTGGAAGACTGGTTAGTGGTGGGTGGATACTGGATACAGAGAGGAGGGCTGAGAAAGAAGAAATCAAGAGACTCAGGCAGGCAGGCAGCAGTCCGACCGGGAAATTCCCTCGATTGGGATGAGGTTTGGAATACACTTTCCCCTATGAGGTCTAGTGCTCACCACTAGCTTGTCTTAGCGTAGCATTTCCACCAATTATATTCTACTAGACTCGTCAACCAGTTTTCTTTATTTGTTTATCCGCCAGAGGAGACTATTCCTCTCTGGGCTGTGCCTCAATAGGCATCTGCATTTACTGAGAGACTGTCCTATCGACGAATTATCATTTCATTTCCACCCACTGATAACTATCATTTGTATGTGATCAAAAGGAGGACCAAATTAGGAGGGGCTCGTACCCCTGGTTTTACACCCTTGATCCTCAGGGCTTCTTCAAAGGGTATCGTACTATCTAACTAATGATAATAAAAGATGCCATTCGCCATCGTACCTTTCAGTTCATCCCAATATTACCTAGTGGTGGTTGTACTTCCTTTTACATTTCTGCACGAAGAAAGTCAGTGCAGCGTCAAGGAGTGGGCTCACCATCTGCAAACTGTGGAGCCCCTTGATGCTTTGAGCCATCTGGTGTTCAAGAATAGTGTGATCGACACAATCAACTTGCGACGCCCGTCACCACCGCAGGTATACCAGCGTTCATTAATACCACTGAATAGCACCTGGGTAGTACAGAGTACATGTTGCTTGATGTTGTGTTACGCGTTGGGACTCGCAATCCTGGCGATCTTTCCAGTTTCTCTACGAGTGTTATTAGGTGGAGTGCACCTAATAGATAGTTCCCCCAGCCTGAAATTTAACCCACGCTCAATGAGCTGATGCAGCGCAAAAATATGAACTATTCTATGGATCAAGGATCGTGCCTCGCTGCTGCAGATGTCCAGTCTGGCTCGACGTCCAATGGCCTAGAAACGTTTACGGCAAGCAAAGGATAGCATCTCAGGCATGTGGTCCAGTGTCACCTTGTCTCGGGTGTACCAGAGTTGCCAGAATCTAGCTCAAGCTCTAGAATGGCAGTTAAGCCCGACGGCCACCCTTCCCCATTACAACGGCCGTTCAGCCACTCCGATGTCAGCCTCCCACCCGACAAGCTTTTTGGTCGGATGCTAAGCTTTATTCTGGTGCCTAATCTTATCCGTGAACCATGCTTCAGTCCGAACCATGCCACGCAACTCTAAGCAGTGGAATGATGACAGCACAGGTCAATCATTGTTGTTCGATCACAGAGCAATTCCTCTGTTCTGCCTTTCAGTTCCAGCTGGATCTGATCTCCGCAGAAGAATTCTCTAAACACCCCGAGAGAACTGTTGATATCTACACAAGAATTACCAGAACCAGATTTCGGAATTATGTCCGCAACACCACACCACTTCAAGCTGAAACATATATATTAACCGGAGTCAAGCGAAAATGCTTGCTGGTGAACATGCAAATCTTTAGGCGGCCCCATGCAAGCATCTGCAGAGGCTGACATGTGTCCTTTCTCTACCTCCAATATCCAAGTCTAAGAGCGATAGTGCTGGACATAAAAAGTATTCCCCAAGTCAGTCAGGCATACGGTTGCCAAAGACTCCAGATGATGGGTAATTGAGCGACGCACCCATGCTAGAACAACTATACAGTGCCAGTACTGTGTGGCTGTGGTGGCGGGAGTTTGATCACGAAATAGACTGTTTGATTCACCCCCGTCTGCATAGTGCATACTACTAACTCCCAATGGCAGCTCAATCAAGTATGGCATGTGCCGTCCGACCAAAATTCGGTTTTACTACAGCGAGATTTTGGACTGTAGATCAGCCACAACCGTCCCCGTCGAGGATCGACCTAGTGTTTATGGGCACAGACAACTCGCGACTTTTATCGATGCTCTCAGTCTAGAAGTTTCACATTTTACAGCATTCCAGCTGGCAATTGTTGACTGTCTTGCTTGCAATGTGTTACAGAAGCTAGGTGGATAAGAGAACTGGCAACGCTGATGGTATTTTCTTTGTGAAGGTGCGTGAAGAGAGATTTTGCGCTCGAGTGAGACATTGCCACCTCAACTCCACGTCGATCTTCTTCTCGGGGCGACTGAAGACTGCGCCTTGGTGTCAATCGAGTCAGTTAACCTTTCGGCTTTGAAGGGAGATGCGGGAAAGATAAGCGTTGGAGAGGCTGACCGTTTGTAGCGGTTTTACCAAAAACGGAAATATCCCCCCTGCCGGATGTTTATTGGCCAATAAGAAATCTTTTGGGCGATCAGTTACCCGGATGGGGCTTGTTGACCCCTGGAACTAAGCCATATGTGGCTAAGCCATGTCTCAGAGTCCTTCAAGATGACCTCACCGCTTTCCCTTTCAGCTTGTATTGGGGCTGCCAAGATCCCACGCGGATTGCCTCAATGGGGAGTCATCGTCGCCCAGATGGAGTATCACGCAGATCTTGATCAGATCTTCTCCCTGGCATGGACAGAGAAATCTCCATCGCCTGCTACAAAGACCGGATGTGTCTTACAGCTCCCCCAACCGGCCAGCAGTCATCATGAAGGCCCTCAAGGATGAGTACGATTTGGGGTACCGCAATCTCGAGGACCCAAAGGAACCCTCGACCCGCCCGTTATCGACCTCCAGACCATTGCTTCTGCAGAACCAGACCTCGAAATTTTGGTTGTCAGGCTGGACCTGGGAGATCGTGAGCTGTGTCATTGCCGTGGCGGCTCTGGTCGCCATCATTATCGTCCTCTACAACTATGATAACCGGCCTATGCCGGACTGGCCATATGGCATCACTCTCAATGCCGTGGTTTCCGTGCTGGTGACCCTAATGAAAGCGGCCATGATCTTCCCAATCACCGAGGGACTGTCGCAGTTGAAATGGTCCTGGTTCAACCAGCGAAACCAACTGAGCGACCTCTCACTGCTGGACGCGGCCAGTCGCGGAGCTTTCAGCGCCACCTTTGTTCTGTTCCGCTTTCTACCTCGGTATGTGTGTCTCACCAATATTAATCATGCCCGACATATAGTCCTAATAGATAATTAGTCACCTGGTATCCATCGGATGCTTCATAATGGTGGTTGCTGCGGCCATTGCGCCGTTCGTGCAGCAAGTCATCAACATCATGTCGCAGCCCGTCCACTCGTTCGATCATTCCGCCATCCAAGTCTGCAATACAAGCAGCTACATCGACTATGGCGAAGGCGCCGGGCCGGGTTTGAACAAGGTTCCTCTTTCCACAACCGGGGCCATCTACACTGGTATTTTTCAGAGTGAAGGCCCAGACAGCAACACGGTTACCATGACATGTCCCACGGGGAACTGTACTTTCACCCCTTATCAATCGCTAGGGTTTTGCAGTCGCTGCGCCAACATCACTGACAGCCTCACCCTGCACAAAACATCGGTTGTCAGTACCATGGCCAATTATAATTACACCCTCCCCAACGGATTCAGCTTCGAGACCTCCTGGGGCATGATGTATCTGATGAACGCTACCAACGGCCTAAACCTCGTCAAACTCGACACCGGAAATCTACCGGTGATACTGAACTTCACCGCCATCAGCGCCGCCGGCTACGGTGTGCCACCACAAATCAGCGCCACCGAGTGCGCCCTCTATTTCTGCGTCAAGACCTACGAAGCCTCGGTCCAAAAGGGCCGCTACAATGAAACCCTGGTATCTACAGCCTCATCCTCGAACTACTCCGCCACATCGGCGACCAGCGACATCTCGCTCACACCTGAAACATGCTATGTGAACGGCACCCAACAAGCCGACCGCACAGACTGCACCTACAACGTTAGCTGGCTCAGCCGACTCGCCATGTACAATTCCCTAACGCCCCTGCTAAAAGGCAAGGGCTCACTCTTCGTCAGCAACCGGCCCGACTGGTCATCTGACACCATGCGTGCTGTATACGGCGTAGAAGGCAATTACACGGACATCAATTCGATGTTCCAATCACTCGCGGGCGCATTGACGACCCATGCGCGCAACGCCGTTTGCAAGGGGTCAGTAAACGGTACGACCTGGACCGTCGAGTCATTCGTGCACGTCAAGTGGCCGTGGATGATTCTCCCAATTGCACTGATGGTCTTGACCCTCATCTTCCTCATCACGACGGTAGTCCGGACGCGGAACCAGTTCATCTGGAAGTCGTCACCGCTGGCGTTGTTGTTCTCGGATGTGGCTGTTGAGGCGCCGCACGCGTTCGAGCGCAGTCCGGATTTGACCCATATGGAGGCGGCATCGCGCAAGATGAAGGTGTGGTTGGAGACGACGACAGGAGGGGCGAAGTTGAAGGCAGTCGTGGGGTGATGCTACTACCACTTTTATTATGAGATATCCTATACCCTGTATACTAGTCATAATGTGTATAATATGTAATATAGTCTATGAGCAGAAAAGCAATTATGGTAATGAAGATGATACCTGGAGACAAGTTCATGAGACATAATGATATGTGAAATAGTAATGAAGTAACGTCCATATTCTGTAGACTCCCCATTGATCCGGTATGCTTGGCAAACTGGAGAATCTCCCCCCTTTCCGTGGTCCACTTCCCGATGCTCCGTTATTGATCCTCAACGATCTACACTACGACTTCACAGCAAAGGGAAGAAAATCCAATGATGAGGAATTTATATTATACACTAACTATATTCATATGTTCCATCCCCGATATACCCACTCGAGATTTACAAAACAAAGTGTGTGTGCCATGGTATTAACCCATTTAGCACTCCTCGGTAGTGCACTCCTGAACCTTGAGGTTGGCAGCCTTGTACTCCGAGCTGTGAGCACCGTACCAGTAGACCTCCTTGGAAGGAACATCGCCGTATCCGTCAACGGCGAACCAGGCCCTACCGCCCTGAGTCAGGTAACCCTCCTCGTTGACACCGAAGCCAGTGGTGTTGGCGTTGTCGGGAACAGCGCCGGAGTGAGGCTGGGTGAAGGCGATGGGCGAGACGCTGTTCTCGATGATGTACAGGTTTTGCCAGGCGGTGGGGACGGCGCCCTTGGCGAGGTAGGTCAGGGCACCGTTGGCACCACCGGAGACTGGTTATTTCATTTGTTAGTCAGATATGAGGTGGTTAAGGAAGGGGGGTTGGCTTACGGATCAGCTTGGAGGTGCTCTTGGAGGCGTCGTTGCCGATGTAGACGTTCTCTGTTATCTTGTTAGTATAACGGTAGATGGGGGTTTAGATGGGAAGGGAAGCATACGGCCATCAGTGAGGACGGGGGTGTTGTCGTCGGCGATGAGGGAGAAGCGCGCGGGGAGAGAAGCGGCAGAGACGGCGCTGGCAAGGCCGGCAAGAGCAACGATGGAGAACTTCATTTTGGATTGGAGAGTGGAATTGAATGTGATGATCACAGAAGATGATTGTTTTGATGGTTTGTGAGTGTGAGTGTGATTGATGGCAAATTGGAAGGTGTTCAGCAGCGTTTATATACCTTCTAGGGAGAGGAGGTCAGGTCCACCTCAGGGACAAGTGAAGTCATCTGTAGACTCAAAGATGAGACTGGTGGGTTCCCGATGGAGATTGATGTCGTTCTGGGCTATCGATCGTCGGCACTATGTGAGACATGTCTTGGAGTCCCGCGTGTTGTGCCGGAATCCCCGGGTTTCCTCTTATGCAGCTGCGGAGGGGTAGGCATTAACCATGATATAGCCGGCTGGTAACGGCAGTAAAGAATCAAGAGAAAGTTGTTTTTGATGATGTTACTGCATCTGCATTTCATGCAGTACCGTGGAATCGTTCGTCAGGAGGTCAACGGATCTACCGGCTTCTATTTCTGGCCTTGGCCGTTGATCGTCCCGATGTTTCAGATGATCTTCCCCCATGTTTGCCTCTTCCAGTCAATAACCTTAAAACAGATCCTCGAGATGGACGATGATCAATAGTCAACGGAGATATACGTTGTACGGAGTAGGTAAGGCTGAACACCGCCACAATGCTCCAATCGTTCCTGAAATATGAAATCATCATGAGCCTCACAACATTTTGGTAGACGGCAAGGGAGGGTTCCACTATGCCAAGGTCACCTTGCCATACTGAATCAGTGACGCTATTGACATTTGGCCACTTTTCCCCAACCCATCAGCTTCTCCTATTGTTAACATCACCGTACAGAGTAATATCTCCGTGGTGGGGTGGGGTGTCGATCGACGAGAGCGATCTGTCTTGCTTGCTGAGACAAGCGGCTGTAAGAGACGAGGCTGTGTTTACATTATATCGAAGTCGATTATACTCAGCTTATGCACAATAAACCCTTTAGATGCATATTTGTTAATACTTCCTCTATTTCATTAGGGAATGGGGCAAAGGGAGGGGATCAAGCCCAGTCTATGCGGTAATTCCAGTTGCTTCCGATATTTATAGTCGAGTTCAGCGAGGGCTGTATTCGGAAGACTGTAGTTATTGTCTTACCATAAATTAACTATACCAGGCATTGGCCCAGTCTGCAGCAAGCTAAGAATGCCGGTCCGTTTGCTTCCGAGACAACCTCCAAATTGTCTCCAACACGATGCGATGATCCCCCTGATGTCCGGGATGCGATGATCAAAAAACGAGGCTGGACTGGCCTGGCCTAGCGAGCTGAGCGAGTTCAGCTTCCAATGGAAAGTGAGACATCTGCGGAATACAGAGAAGCGACGGAGTAGTCAATATCCGAGCTATTATCCGAGCATGGCTGGCTGGACCGACAATGAATGCATGCATACGCACTTTCAAAGCTGGAATTAGCCGGACTCAGGTGCGAAGAGCATGATTAACTAATATACTCTATATGCGACCGTCGACGGTGGTCCCTATTGATACGGATCCCGGGCAGGCGAGATCTAGATGGAAGACGACCATAGGCAGTTCCCACAGTGAACTGTAGCCGGAGACTTGATAACCTATGCAGTGCTGAGAAAGAAAGATGTTTTGAACGCCCATACCCCTGTTTCTACCGGTATGTCGCCTCGGTTATTGCAGTCGTATCAAGTTGTGTGCAGACACTTACCTAGGGTCGATCAGACCGAGACAGTCACAGGAGCTGACCTGACACCAAGAACAAACGAAATCACCGATAGATGTAACGTACACGCTATTATTCCAATGGCACCACAGGGCGGATATAATCGCTTCATTTGTTCACCCGGCCATCTCGCTTCAAGCAAAGCGAGCCAACTCCTCGGCCGCTGCTGCGGGGAAGATAAGCGAAGACAGATGGTTGGACTCGGACTCCGCGAGCTGCAGCTCCAATGGCACCGTGGCATCAATGCAAGCAGCCGCCAGGGTTTGGCTGCAGGTGTCAACCACTAGTACTTTGATTGCTCGAGCGGGGAAGACCAGACCAGTCAGACAATCTGCTGCAAGGGATAGCCTGCTGAAGAGTCCGTTGTTTTTGTAACTTGATTGCTGTCGCCGGCCTTCACCTGAACGTGACTTTTATCTTCACGAACGCTGATTGAAAGAGTGTATAAGGACACAAAGATCTGTGAACATCATGAATCAAGGAATTAAAAGCATCTTGGTGGCTGCCACGCTCGCTACCATGCTTCCCTTGCAAGCATACAGCTCCATTGAGCGCTCCAGCCTCCTGCCAACACCACCTATGGGATTCAACAATTGGGCCCGCTTCATGTGCGACCTCAACGAGACCCTGTTCATCGAAACTGCCGATGCAATGGCTGCTAACGGTCTGCGGGACGCAGGGTACAATCGCATCAACCTGGATGACTGCTGGATGGCCTATCAGCGATCCGACAATGGATCCCTACAGTGGAACACGACAAAGTTTCCTCACGGCCTACCTTGGCTAGCCAACTATGTCAAAGCCAAAGGCTTTTATTTCGGCATCTACGAAGACTCCGGCAACATGACCTGTGGAGGATACCCTGGATCCTACAAGCATGAGGAGCAGGATGCCAACACCTTTGCCTCCTGGGGAATTGACTATCTCAAGCTCGATGGCTGCAATGTCTATGCAACCCAAGGCAGGACGCTTGAAGAGGAATACAAGCAGCGCTACGGACACTGGCATCAAGTTCTCAGCAACATGCAGCACTCACTGATCTTCTCCGAGTCAGCCCCGGCATACTTTGCGGGTACAGACAACAACACAGACTGGTACACTGTGATGGATTGGGTGCCGATATACGGGGAGCTAGCACGCCATTCAACTGATATCCTGGTGTACAGTGGAGCAGGTAGCGCATGGGATAGCATCATAAACAATTACAACTACAACACCCTTCTTGCACGCTACCAGCAACCGGGGTACTTCAACGACCCGGACTTTCTAATTCCGGATCATCCGGGCCTTACGGCGAATGAAAAGCGGTCGCATTTCGCACTGTGGGCTTCTTTCTCGGCTCCTCTCATTATAAGCGCCTACATACCCGCGCTCTCGAAGGATGAAATTGCCTTTCTGACGAATGAAGCATTGATTGCGGTGGATCAAGATCCCCTGGCACAGCAGGCCACGTTGGCGAGTCGCGACGACACCCTGGATATATTGACCCGTAGTCTGGCGAACGGCGATAGACTGCTGACCGTGCTTAATAAGGGTAACGCAACTGTAACGAGGGGAATTCCAGTGCAATGGCTGGGTCTGGTCAACACTGGCTGTACATATACTGCCGAAGATCTCTGGAATGGCGATACCCAGAAGATCGGCGATCATATAAAGGTTGAATTAGCCAGCCACGCAACAGCAGTCTTCCGGCTCAGTCTGCCAGACGAATGTTCTTCGGTAGTCCCAACCGGACTCATTTTCAACACAGCATCGGGCAACTGTCTGGCCGCTACCTTAAATTCTTCAGTCGCATTTCAGTCCTGCAATGGAGAGGACTCCCAGATCTGGCGGGTGACGTCGTCAGGAGTCATTAGTCCACTATCGCAGACGACACAATGTTTGACTGCCGATGGAAGCTCAGTGAAGCTTCAAGCATGTGACAGCACTGAGGACGACGGCCAGAAATGGACGTATGCAGTCACGGGGAATTTGAAGAATGCAAAGACGGATAGTTGCTTGACGGAGGGACCGGTGCAAATGAAGTCGTGTCTGGATGAGAGGAATGGTCAAGTATTTGGCCTCCCGAGTGGCGTCCAGTTGTCGTAAGGGAGTAAGAGGAGAGTATTGGGGAGCAGAGGCCCATCTAGGCGGCTGTTTCATGTTGATGTCTGGACAACTAAACGAATGATATACATCCCAGGTGCTATTAGTAGGGGTATAGAATTGATCTGCAGTTGTTTCCGCCAATTCTCGATAGTCCTTGTGTGTAGCAGCGCCTTTCAACTTAAACCAAGTTTGACAGGCCCCAGGGAGGTAAGTGCAATGTTAATCAATAAGAGTCGCATATAGCATATTATACCTTACTCTGTGTCTAGAACCTCGAGGGGCTAAGGCTCTGGCCATTCTTCCCCAGGTTCGCCAAGCATTGGACCATGAAAGGTAGCTGGAATGCATTGGGAGATGCGGATTGTCCAATATCCATATTCGGAATGTCATTGTGATTAGGCCTGCATTCCCAAGCACGTGAATATCTGAAAATATGCTAATATCTTCCCCAAGCCTCTATTTACCTGAAGTGTAGACCACATAGATTCCGCCAATTACATACAATTTCTTAGTCTTGAGCGTATACTGAAAGCACAATCAAGGCTGCCTACAAAAGATCTTCCCACAGAAGATTGGAATTACTCGGGTGGGATTCAAATCCTTCATATCAGCTATGGAAATGAAACGGCTGGACAGCAAGTCGCCAAAGCCCAGCATTCTTCGGCGCTATATCCACCAATGGCTCCACACAACGCAGGGTAACCCTCAACCTTAGAGTCCCAGAGCTATTCATAGTCAACGCTTGATAGCCATCCTATATTGAAACTCGAGGAATGTGCCTCACCGGTCTGCACTGGAGCATAACAATGGCATTGTTGTATTGGGGACATTCCAGGAACTTAACTTGACAGCGCCTGTCATTGGAATGCACTATACTGGGATGCCTCAAAGACAGGCCTAGCTCTGACAGCAGTTGTTATAAACCTCTTTAACCGTCAAAGACCTTCAGCATAGAAAGTCAAGTCTCCACAATAATCTGAATCTAAACCTGCAATCTCCGACACAGTGAACGGCATCATGGTTTCCGCCAAGGCTATTATGTTCACGATGATCACTGCGGTGATGGCGCAGAACAAGACCCAAATTGTATGTATACTTTCCGAATACTATTCTTCACAATGAATCAGTGAATTGTATGATCTGACTGGAATACTGCTAGGGCACCACGAGCGAATTTCGCGTCTGCACTGTAGACGCAAGACCCATCTACTCCGAATCCTGCATCTCCTTGAACCAAACTGGGTATATATCATTCCGAAACTTGTTGCAATAGAGCCCGCTTTGACACAAGAGAAACAGGTCAACCCAGTTTAATGTTGCGGTCGGCTGTCGCCAGTATGGGTATGACCCCCGATTCCGAAACAGACGTGACCTATCTAGCTGACCGATCATCTCCTGTAGAAGCACGACATGTACCGGAAATTACGATACGGTGGGATACCGGAGTGACTGCTATGAGAACAGCCGGTTCTTCCAGAATTTTGGTACGATAAGCGGGAGCATTTATTGCTATCCTTCTTAGGGGACGATGGGTTGTTGAGACCTGTTTGAAGAGACTATGGGTGGACTTTACGCGGTAGTATCATGATTGTGAGGGTATGCTTAT